ATTTTATATGAATTTGAGACAATTAATTACAACTTAAAATATTTATTAAATTATTCTATAAACCGACTATAAATAAAACTGATTGCTTAAAAACTATAATCATATATTCTTGGACGTAATCATATTTTTTATATGGATTTATAAGTAATCAGTCGAAAGTTGTCTTGATAATTTGAGATAAGTCGTATTTTAAGTGGACTTTGGGGCTCTTAGAGTTGAGGGTAAGAAGATGGTATTATGCAATTCGTAAATATCGGTTTTACCATCTCCTCTGTAGAACTTTCGTCGTTATTTATTGTTACCTGTCGGCTGGCCGTTCGCCGTGTAATTAAATAAATTATTCGAACATGTCTGGTTTATTATCTTCGATGTGCGCGCTCAGTTCACACAGAGTAGACGATGATCGGGCAACAAACGATCGGGCAGCTGAGAAGAGCTGAGCATAGTCGAACCGAGCAGCTTGACTCGACCAATATTTACACGAATCCAACAGATACATTATCATATCGGAACGTAAGCAACAAATATCACAGAACTTATTTACTTATTCTCCATGAGAAGATACGGGGAAACGTGGGTAATATTTGAAAGTCATTCGGTTCATCCAGATACACATTTGTTAATTTACTTATATCTCATATTAAATGTGTGTCAAATCATATTTAATCTATTGAACTAATTTTATATATTAATAATTTTTGAAGTTTAGTATCAAACTGATAAAATTGAAGTTCAAATATAAAACTGTATAGCTATTATGTATATGGAAAAAACTAGTGAGAAATGAATGACAAAAATAATAATATTGACTTCGGTCAAGGTCATTTTGCTTAAAAATGAAATTGCGTATGGTATAAATATTACTTGTAATTTGATATCGAAATAATGGAATTCATTGTTAACAAATTATTGATGTTTAGATTTTAAAGCAATAAAAACATTTTGCAATTTATATGAAATTAAATGAATATTTTTTCTAGTATGATTTAAAACAAAATAATAATTTTTAATGAAATGAAATTTGATAATATATATAAATCAATGCAACTTCTGTAAACAAAAGAGAATTTTAAATTAAAAAAGAAGTCTTTTTTGTAATTTTTTTAAAAATTTATTTTAATTTTATTTGAAATATTCAAACCCGACTGTAATGAATGCGGACTGAACGAAGCCGGACTAATTTTTATTAGTTTAGAGCAGATTTTATTGTTAGTTGTGAATCAATGAAATACTAAGTCTATAATTGATAGCTATACAAAAGAACAACCTATTGTTACTGTTAAAACACATTACAAATTGGACTAAAGTTAGAAAAGTTTTTTTTTAAACATTTTCTTTTTTTAATCATCTTTAGAGATGAAGCTCATTTTCATTTGAATGGTTTTGTTAATAAGCAAAATTGTCGAATTTGGGGCAATGAAAATTCTCGAGTTACTAATGAAAAAAAAGATGAAACCATAAATTTGACCCTACTTTTTTGAGAATGATCTAACTTTTTGAGAGATCAATTTGGACGACATGGACCTCGAAGACATGTGGTTTCTACAGGATGATGCCAAATGCCATACAGCAAGAGAAACCATCGATTTGTTAAGATAACATTTTCCTAGTTGGGTGATTTCTAGAAATGCTGAAGTTAATTGGCCACCCAGATCTTGCAACTTGAGGCCATGCGATTTTTGCCATTGGGGTTTTGTAAAGTCCAAGGTCTATACTAACAAACCACAAACAATTCCTGTGAAAACAGAGATCCAATGCGTCATTTCTGAAATTGAGCCAACTGCCTTGCAAAAAGTCTTCGAAAATTTTATCAAAAGGGTCAGGGTATGCCAGCGCAACCGAGGCAGCCATTTGGCCGAAATCGTATTCCAATATGTCCAATCTTAACATGTCTGCTTTATAAATCAATAAAACTTTCGCAAGTAAATAATAATTTACAGTATTTCATTTCAAAATTAAATCCCTATAGTATAAATGTTTAAGATATAAAATTTATTTGGGGTAGAGAGTAATAATTTAAAGAGATTTCCAGGTGGAAAAATGGTTACTAGAAAGCCGTTGTTGTTGGACTTTCACCATTTAAAAAACTTTAAATGTCTTGAGGACCTTTAAAAAAAACTATCGTGCACCTAAAACTGAATGCCGAGTGGGGGTCGTTTTAGAGGAATTTTCATCATATTCTTCTTACTTCTTCGGTCTTACGATATTCACCTGTTTCATCTAAGATGAAGGTCGTCGGCAGGTGGTTTTCCTCGAGTTGGAAGTCAATTACCACAACATCAAGGTGTTTATGCGTGCGCTTTCATTTGTAGTCAGCTGCTTTCCTCTCGTCCTCGCCACATCATCGCGCTCCATAAAAATTACAGTTTTATTACTAGCAGTCCTGCTCTAATAGATTCTGAACATCTGATGCTTAATTACAGCTCGAATAGAAACATCATCGTTGCAAAGAGGATTCTCAGCAAAAAAAAATCGCATAAGAATATCTTCTTTTCGATTGTTAGGGAGGATTCGTTCGTGTAAATTAAGGAACCCCGAAATTCACACCGAAATACGAGATTTTTAAATTTGAACTTCCGTTTTTCCTTCTCCCTTTCCGATCCACCCCGAAACGCCGAGATGGGTCTGAGAAGAAAAAAGCCTGCTCTCTCTCACCCTCCTCCCTGCAGCTTCCTTCCGTTCGAATTCTATTATGTGCACTTAATATATCTTTTTTTCAAGCATCTGCGCTCCCCTCGCAAGATCTATTTGCATTCAGCCGAATTTACCTGAGGACGAGTGCACGGAATGTGCGTTTTACGGATGGTTGTCGTAAGGGCGTTATTCCCGATGTGGGAATAACAAACTTTCACCTGGATATTCCTATATTCCAAGTGCGATGCACAAAAGGGGGTGAGAGATGAACCCGTGAACTCGCTTTGTTTTCTGGGGCGCGGCACCTGGTCAGACTAATACTTTTTGGTGGAAAAATTGGATATAGAAAAGAAATCTTCCAGCATCTGCGACCCAATTTAGGAAAACGCGAATATGAATCGCCGATATAATATTTTCTTGATTGCGTTGACAGGAACAGTGGGGAAATGGTTTCTCGGTTTCGTGCGCTTCGCAATGTGCCAAAATCAATAGCTGCCCTCGGGATTCGTGCACAAGCTGAATTATCATTTGCATTTCATCTTTCTCAATCCACAGTTTCTTCATCCAAATCATATTCTGAAATCTCAATGTAAACTTTGATACTTTATGTAGATATCAAAATTGGCTATGTTATATATTACAATATTGAAAACAAGTTTCATGTTTTAATTACCATTATTTTGTCATCAAGTTAACGTACACCAATTATATCATTCAACATAACACAATAAAGCGTGCATCTTTACATAAACAAAGAGTTGAGAACTTTAAACTGATGTGCTTAAGAGAATAGTTACGAAAATATACATTACTTAAGATACGAGTTATTTATAATAGGAATTAGTAATGAAGCTCGGAAACAAACATTTCATTATTGTTTTTTGATTCAGTAAATTTGTAAAACTAATTACAGAATAATTAAAAAATAATGTAAAAATCAATTATAATAGTTTAACTTTGAAGTTAATTATTCAGTTATTACTATTTAATTAGAATAAATGATTTCGAAATAAAATGTGACATAGTACAAGTTATGATAGACAGAAGTAATTATAATTTACATATTTTCATATTAATACTATCTGAAATGTAAAAATCACATTGCCAATGTTTATTGATGATATTAAACTATGTTTAGTACAGTAAAGAATAATCCAAATTTAAAGTCGTAATATAACAAATGTTGTAACAATAATAAGGAAAAGTAAAAATATGTAATCAACTAAACGTTGAGAAGAAAGGTAATAATTGCTCAAGGTCTGACATTTAAAAGTCAAATTTTAACAAATAAATGTAGCTTTATATCTGTATATTCTCTTAAAACCGACATTTTTTAATTATGTATTTGTATTAAGCACAATCAAACATATCAAATCAAAATAATATTACAAATCGATTAGTTATATATTCATTATTATAAGTTTAAGTTAAATTTCAATCAAAGTAAAATAACGTTGACCTGAAAATACAGGTGGTGACATCTGTGAGGAAAGTGTTGAGGTAATTTTGGGGTCGCAACAACTTTAGATTAGATTCAAATTTTGTGAAGCGGAAAAGAAGGCTAATACATAGTTCTTGTTAATAAATGTTTATTTCATTTAATATTGATATAAATAGGAAAAGAATATAGTAACAATGAACATTAATTAACCATTTTAACCTGGTTCCAAAAATTTTCGGAATTTTTACTCGTATAGTGAAACATATTCAAAAATACATATAATATGTGTACATAATTTTTAAAAATGATGTAGCTAGCGTGCAATCCGGGACTTCTCTTCTCATCGTCACTCGTTATGTGAAACGTGGCTCGTTAAACGAGTAATTTTTCTTACAATTAATTTTACTTGTTAAGCGAAATGCTCGTTAAGCGAGGTTCCACTGTATTTTATATGTTTCAAACAGATTTATAATCAGTTGAGATAATCTAATTTGTTTGTTATTTATATTTTGTTTATTTTATACATAAATACCAACTTAAATTATTACCAGCATTATTGAGATTACATAAAAAGTCATTTTCAAAACAAGTTAAACAATTTTGGAAATTAAATTATTTTTATTAAAGTATAGGTAATATTTTATAATCAATAACTTGATAGTTCGTTTATGTAATTATGAAGAAACATGTTTTTGTTAATATATTTTATTGTAACCTTGAATTTCAAGTAACATTTGTTAATATGTAAACTAAAAGCTAATTAAATGTCATTTATAAAATTTAAATTGACAGTGCTGATAGTTAAGGAAAAGATATTTATCATAAAAAATAAATGAAATGTGCAGCAGTATTGAAATACCTGCGGTAATTTGACAGTGTTTAAGTTAAAGTTTTGCAACAAGGTGCAATTACGGAACGAACGAAGGTGGTATTAATTAGAGGGAGGGGAGGAGTAGTTACATGTTATGCAAAAATGTAATATTATTAAAATGAGAGAAGGATGCGCGAGATTATGCATGATGAAAAAGAGGATGTAATGTATGCGGCGCTCGGGCAACAAACGTGGAGTAGGCAATGCCTCCGTTAGGAAACTTCCCATAATGAAATACTCGTTTGATGACAAATTGTTGCTAATCATGTATTCGCCTTGTGTGTGTATACGTCGAAGAATACGGACGACCAATTTGTTGTTGAAACAAGAGCAAACAAAAAGTTGCCGGATGTTTGTTATTAAGCAGTAATTACGGACTTGATTATTCCTTCGATCCTTGTCGACATTAAGCAGCTACACCTATATTTTTAGGTATTAATAATAATAATAACAAAATGATAATAAAATTTTAAAGCTTATTCTCGCCTTTTCGCATCTCTTTATTTCTTTTTATTCGAGTGTCGTTAAGTGTGTGAACACATTTATGTCATGTTTGACTTAGATCATCGGAAAATTGTTACCGCGTTAGTGTGGAAACCATTATCCAATTTTCACCTAATTATAAGCATTAAACCGAGCGAATTTGTTTGCCAGACGACGGTTTAATTGAAAATTAATTCACCGACGAGATGACTCTTCAACACCATTAGAGCAATAATTTTCTTTTCCAGATATTATCGTAACATTCGTGAAGCTTGTGTAATTATTTTGATTAGTGCCTATGATGAGGGGGACAGTTTCAATTATTTGTAGGTACGAGGCTTAGCGACCGGCCACCTGAAGACATAAACTGGACACAAAGTAAACGTTTTTTTTTCTTCTCTATTTCTTCCACTCTATGGGAAACGTGAATGGATCGAAGTATGGGAGTGAGCAGGCTTGAAGTGCTTTTCAATTGTTATTTGCTACCGTACGAGTTTTACAAAGGAGTGTGTAAATATGCTCATATTCCTCGACGTGGACATGAAAGGAAATCAAACCACAAGATGCTTCACAGCAGATTACGAGATCCGATGATGTCCGATGATAAGATCAGATAAGGAACTTCCATATACAAATGAAAATGGGACGTGAAATATGAATAACAAAAAAATATTCTGCCTTTTTTTATTGATTTATATATTCGATACAATTTGATTCGCTCTTCACTTTGTATTTCAAATTTCATAAAACTCTTTACAGATGTTCTTAAATATATATTTATTTTAAATCTCATAATCAGTTTACTTATTGGGACCATAAGATGCACAATTTATACATAGCGAAATCGAAAACTGAATTATTTTTTATAAATATTTCCTAAACTTAACATAATACATTATTATGAAATTGTTTTTTTTTTCAAGAAATTGCCACATTCAATTAAATTTATATAAATTTACAATTTATATACATTAATACAGACAGATTATATTATTATCAAAGGTATTAATTAAAATGGGGATAAATAACAATAACTCTGGTCCTGGCTTATTATTATATTTTGTAAAGAAAATCTTAACACTGTCCTTCTTCCTACTTTAAAAGCTGAATTTGATTTTCACGTTCTTAATTCATAATGTTTTAAAATTCTTAATAAATTAATGTTTACGTAATAATAAACTGAATAAGCAAACAAAACTGGAACAAAAAGAATGAAATACTTTTTTTTAAAACTTACTACCTAAACTTCGAGTTTTGTAACTAAATAAAATGTAGTTTACATTTAAAAACATTTTCTTTATACCAATTTAAAACAATAAAACCTAATTTCTTGAGATTTTCTTCAGAAAATGCATTTATTAACACATGCACAAATTTTCAATAACAAATAATTGATAATAAAGTTATGATTATAATTATCTCAATTTTAATATAGTCTTAATCGAATGTAATAAGACTAAAACTTATAAGAAATAATATAAATAAAGTATATTTTTTTAAGAATTGTATGAAATACTTATTGCATTAATTATATACATTGACCCCGTAATATGTGTTTTTTTTATTTCATTGACCGTAGTTGTTTATGTCACATAAAATTTAGACCTTCTCTCAATGATTGCATTTATTTAATTCAATATAATTAATGTAATTAGTCTATGTTTAGTAATAATTAGTTTCCAAATAAAGCACAAGTTAAATTAGTTCCGAGAATTTGTCTTCCAATTATATGGTTAAAATGTAAAAATATTTGATTAAAAAGAAGAGTAATAAATTGTAGGGTTACAGAAAGAGAGGAACGGAAAATGCATTTAAATGTGGTCGTTTCGCCTGGTTCACTTTTCAGACTTGGATACTTCCGTTTCCCTTCGGTATGCATTGTTAAATCCTAATGAGTGTTTCGTGCATATTTAATGTTGGGGCAATTAATGCGAAATAAAGAGATGCGATGGTGGCTTTATTTGGTGAAAGAGGTGGCGAAGACGAGGATAACAATGATGATGATAATAATAATAGGCAGAGCGAGTGGTAAGAAGAGAAGACGTCGTACGAGAAGAGTGTGTAGGGCCTCGGGGTGGTCGTGGCACACGTCGGTCGCGTGTTGCCCGTCTCGAACAAGTGAGATGCCATATGTTGTACCTCGAACAACACAAAGAACTCGGAGGGCCTCTCTCTTTTTCGCCGTGTCCGCACTATCCATTATTAGTATTACCATCATTAAGCCATGTGCATTTAATCATTCTTTGTGCAAAGACAATGCGCCGCTTGCTCTTCGGGCACGCGTCTAACCAGTATTGTGCATTGTTCCTTCCTACCAACAAATAATACCGCACAAGCCAAAAAAGGAACCTCTTATTAATAGAGAAAGAGAGAGACGCGAAGACAAAGAGGGAGAAGAAAAACAAAACGAGAATACCATAAGGCATACCACCAGTTTAGGACCCACGCCGCATGGTCCTATAATTAGCATATACACCACATATTAAGATTTCTCGAAGATAACAGCAGGCCGAGGAGGGAGAGAAACAAGAGAGAAAAAAACCTGTTTTCTGGAAGCGCGGCTTCTGTAATCCACCCCCGGAAGGCTCGATAAATTGTATTGCCAAATGTCGAGTATACTTATACCTTTCTCTATCTGTCTCTCTCTCTCTCTTCACTCATTCTTTCTCTACATATGTATATACATAAACATCTTCTGCGAGGAAACAGTAGAGAAAAGAAAAGGGGGCTGCTGCATCATGCGAAACGCACCTGGCTTCATCCTCCTCCGCCCTTCAGTCATCCCCTCCGAGAACATTCCGCCACACGCCAACTGGGATGCAACACGCTTACACTTACACACATATATGAATAGGTATAGGTATACATCCATTTTCTGTAATCCCATTAAAACCGCACACTTGTATTTACTCAAAGAGGAGGAAAATGAGCACTAGAAAAGTACACAACAAGGCAGAAATAAAGAACGAAGAAAAAAAAAGATGTTCAAGCCCCACAACACTCGAGCGCACGTAATTGCCCGGAAACGCTTAAAATGCTTAAGGAGAAACCAATTTAGCGAGAATATAATGAAAATAAATTATTTCGTGTAACAGCCGAAAAACGTGATGTTAAAAATAATGCGATTTCAAGATATTTACTATATTTTTCTGTAAGCCATAGGCGCCTGTTTAACGATTAACAGGTTCAACTACATAAAAAAAACTAATGACGCGTTTAATTGGTCTTATTGGGGGCAAATCGAATTGCAGGAAATCCGGATCTCAATTAGTACAGTTTCGTGTAATTAATAGAAATCTACCAATATCTTACGAGCAAATTATTTTTTTACACTCTCACAGCATCACAACATTAAATTATATTTGTTATACAACTATACTTCGAGGTATAAAAATGTTTCTATAATATCAATCATTAAAATTCGCACAAAAAAATGCGTACTGATAGAAAACATTACAATGGTGATGTTGGGATTGGTTGGATTTCATATACCGCATAAAAAGGACCGCACAAAAAAAAACCTGTTTTTAACCTGTAATATAAATGTGTTCATTTACGAGAAACATTCTAATAAATGTCATAGATATTCTTCTATAGATTAATACCAACTTGAAATGCTGTTTCATTGAAAAAACGAACTAACCTTGATCAATAAAATTAAATGTAAGGATGCAAGGAAATATTAAATGATTATATTATTTAAATTTTGCGGATGTAATGACATTAACGAGTATAAGTGTGGCTTTTTATATTCATTTTAATAAACCATAAAGTGAAATGTTTCCATTTTTCGTTTGTTTCTTTTAATCAATTTAATTAATGAGACACCAATAAAACGTAAATAAATTATATAATAATGAAACAGAATACGAAAAATGAGAAACATATATAAATTTTACTGTTTCATATTTCTTTTAATATTAAAAAAAATCAAATACAACACGAAATAACGTCTGTAACAACAACTTAATGAAATACAATACTTACAAAAGCAAAAGCCGGGACAAAGATGACAAACAAGGTAATTGCCTCAGGTGAATAATAAGAAAGGGCACCAAATTGATGAAAAATTGTGGTTCTATGACTAGTTTTAAATATAATTTTATTTGATAATTTATACATTTATCAGCAAAAAAATATCCTCCTGTCTCAAGTGAAATACTTCCAGATTTTACTCTGGACGATAGCTGTACGACATAATAATTGTAATAAGTTATAACAACAAATAATGAAATAATTCATATAGCATATCATAAAAATCTTAGGTTTATCAAGCAGAATTTTCAATTAGTAAATTGTAGTAGAAAATGCTACTTCCAATTCATATACAAAAAACTTTAGCAAATTGCTTTTATTATATTAGACTATAATTATATTTTCGTTATTTTACTATGATACTATATTATATAGATATTTAACCAAGTTTAATGAACATTTAAACATCTTAACTGTATTAACATAACAATAAAACATGGAAAAAATATGGCAAATGTTATTTAACTAATTTTTCAAATCATTATAAGTTATATATTATTGCTTTACCAGAAGTCCATTTTTTTAATACTAAAAACTTTATGTAACTTTATATTTGTCTATTTTTGAGACGACGGTAATAAAATAAAAGGGAACAATTTTATTTGATTAGGAAATAAGATATTTTTCGAGATATTGAATGAGCAAACAAAGGAATACTAACATCCTGTGTAGAAGACTACTGTTTAAAATGGTGCGATCGGTCACGAGGATTCAAACGCTATTCTCCAGATTTTTGTCCTATTGTATCATATAAATGAAAAAAAAAAAATAATAGTACAAGTACGGCTGCACGCGAGTCGACTACAAAGAGGGGAGGATATGAAATAATTTCACATTCGCAGTTAGTTGTATCATAATGTATCGAAATTGTGTAAATTTCAATGCCGCGATGCGCATTGGGGTGGTTCGCGTCCAGACGAGGGGTGGAACAAATTTCTATGGACACCGGTATTATTGTTTTGTTGTTGCTACGCAACTGGTCTGGTCCATATCGTACGAGGGAATAATATAATGATTATCGGAATTTCGGAAGTGGGTTGATGATGGTGCGATGATTCAGGGGTGGTGAGGTGGGCGAGGGGTAACGACACGTGCTGTGTGTCGTTGTCCTTTCCCCCAGGATCCAGGCGGCAGCTGCCGGACACGCGTGTCTGCCTGTCTCTCCGTCTCACTTCGACGCACGGTCCATGGATACGTCTGTCTGCCTGTCTGCTGCGGCGCGCTACTCTCCCGTTAGCATGCAAACACAACAAGTACCACCCCTCACGTTGCATCCCCCTATTGTATGGGCCGCATTTCGATGCACGTCCACCGCACCACACCACCCCTTGACGCGCCGAAAATTTCGATGCATGTGCCGAGGTACGAGACAGATGGTCCATACCTACATCCCTCTCTGTGCCTATCAATTTATCCGTACGCGTTGCAATTCTCCGGCACAGGTATTGTTTAAGCCGTAGCGCAGATGTGCTCAGCACCTGAACCCTTTTCGCACCCCAATTCCATTCAGCGAGGAGAACAAAAATACGCATTTCCACTAATACAAATACCTATACATTTTTATGGTAACAATGCCGGGGGGTCAGTGCATTTGCAAATCCCAGTT